CTAATGATCACCTGCCTTTTACGACCGCTTTTGCTTGCTGCGCCACGAAGATGTGCATGAGCTACTTGCCTGCAGTCCATTCATCGGAAACTGGCCCGCTGGCTTTTGAAAGTCGGATTTGGGCCGAATTCAGGATCAAAAACCCACTTTAAATCTCAAAAATCTGGGTTTTGGATCTGCTTCTCCATACATTTTGCCATGGCATACCTGTCCTAATTTTGTAAAACCTGGCTGAATTTCTATTTCCCTGTTCTTGGACTTTTGTGGCCTCAAATGTGGCAAGGAGTAATTGCACGGGTCACACAATGCAGGATGTACTGTTGTTTTCACGATATCTACAACTATGTGAGAGAGACACCAAAAGTTAGGGTGCCAGTTTCCAATGCATGGACTGTAGTACTTTACTTGGGAGGCTCAATGGAAACCTGCCGTAGGCTAGGTGGTGTGAAACTACTCTTTATTATTGTACCTAACTTGTACCTAAACTTGTCCATCATCATCGTTACATCATCGTTACATCATCGTTACATCATCGTTACATCATCGTTACATCATCGTTACATCAACATTGAGTTCAGTACGATACTGTAGTGACTTTCGGTTTGTGACAGTTCGTCTTCGCTTGGCTTTCGCTCTTTATGTTTGTTAAAAAGAGTTTTACACAAGAGAGAGAGAGAGAGAGAGAGAGAGAGAGAGAGAGAGAGAGAGAGAGATTGGAAGCTATGTGTTTCAATTTCTCTCTCTTGTGTGTACAATCATTCTTTGTTCGCGAGGGGCATAGCTCATGCACATCTTCGTGGCGCATCTCTTCTCCTCATCGGAACTGTCCATCATTGTATACTATTATTGTACACGTGCACGTCCAGCCGCATTTTAGTTGAGGGCGCCAGATATACTATGCGCTCTGGGTCGGATTTCACCGAGCGCAACTGTACATGTACATGTTTGTATACTACACTACACGCCCTTTGTAGTCCCCTATGTTCTCTTGATGTTGTTTTTCTCTTCCATTCTATGTAGGCTTGTGCACTTTCATAAAAAATAAAATAAAATAAACATTGTATGTTTAAGACATTGACCAAGGCGAGGTCTACATGTATATTCCGCATATCATCCGAAGTCGAGGTCAATATCCTGTTTATCACGATTCCTTTGCCTTATGATTTTTCAGCATTCCATTTACAACTCGCCCATTGAAACACTGCAATATCTACCAGATCTTTTATCCATAGCAGCCGTTCAAGCTCTGCCCTAGGTGTTATACGTCCCCATTGTTTCCATCTTCCTTTCAAATGTAAAATTTTGTTTTACAAACTGTACATCCTGCCTCTTTTCATGTACGCTGCTGTTAGCTGGTGTGGCTTGTCCTCGGTTCTCGCTGAGCATCTCGAAATCCACCATAGAAAACTTCTTCGTATCCTGTTTAGTCTACCCCCTCTCTACCCTTCTGCTTCCCTGTATGTCCTTGCAAATGCTTGCCCACTGTCGACCCACCGTCAAAAATTAATTTGCACTTTTGCTCACAAATTTAAACTAGCTCTACATCCTCCTCATCTTAACGTGTATAACTGGTTCCGAATCACAGATGGCTCCCAGACAAGATGCTCTGTTGCCCTCCCCTTGGCTAAAACGTCCTCCCTTGTACGCTCTCCACTCTTTGTTGCTTACTCTGCTTGGCTTGCGCTGCCCGCTACTACGGGCAATGCCAGTACCCTGGACGCATTTAAATCTGCTCACTAGATTCACCATCACCTGTCCCTCCCATGCTTCTCCGTCTTGACCATTACTTTTCTTCTTTTATTCACCATGGTTGGTTAACACCCACATCTCCCGTACTGGCTGATTTTCTTCTCATGCCATGAGGTGTTGTCTATAATAATAATAATAATAATAATATGCTCTCCTTGGCTCGGCAGCTATCCTGCGTAAGGTTCTTGATTTGTAATGCTCTGGGGTGGGTGGTGGAGTTCTTTCGGACCTGTTTTCCTCCAAACCCCCTCGTGTTTCCTATGATCGATATTTAAAAACGTGTGGTGTGTTTCTCTCTGTTGTTTACTTACCAACATACTTAATATCCATATGATGCATTCTATTTACACCTCGCCCATTGAAACACTGCAATAGCTACCAGATCATTTATGTCTTTTTAAATCAAACCGCGACCATTACAATACTGTGATCTAAACCATACCGCTAATTATTCGACGCATAATGCGACAAAGTCTTTTAAAACAAATCCACAAAAAGCAACAGTTTTAATCAGCCACTTACCAGTATATCCCTTGCCGAAATTGTATTCTTGAACGCAATATTCTTCTTCATTTTTCTTATACTCCGCTCCATCAGCACTCCGCCGGAGGCAGGAGATTGGCACCCAACGGGCTAGCATCCAGCAGCTAAATCCCTTCTAAACGAAACTAGCGTGCATATTCACATCGGATGTTGCCTTTATATACCCCCCCCCCCCAACATATCTTAGCCCATACGGCGTTCGAGATGCTCAGTACCAGGGAGTAGTACCCTGCTCAGTACTGGATACCTGGTATACCGGTACGCGGTGTACATGTAGCAGTCTAGATCTATGCTACGGTACGCACTACATACTCATTTACGGTACAGGACACATACGGTATACCATCCTCACTTTCCCATTTCTCTCTGATTGCTAATTCTGTTCGAACTTGGCTTGTAATCACCAGTACATTTTCTTTTTTATTATCACCATCATAATATTGGGCATCAATGCCCGTTTGGTTTGCGGTTTAAAATAAAACTCCAAACAAACAAACAAAACTCTGTAGGGTCTGAGGCTGCGAAGCGTACGTGAATTCATGTTTGGTTGGTTGGCTGGCCTTTATTTTACTTCTCATATTCAAACACACTCAAACGGGAAGACGGCCCAATAAACTGATGGCGAAAGCTTAGCCTGGAAGTGGCTATGGAAGCACATAGTAAGAGATTAGGATACTAACAATTGAGAGAAAGCTGGGGGGGGGGGGGGGGGGGTGGAAGAATCTATAATACTATGTGAGGATTACTGAACTGCACTGGGCCCATGGGAGGGTGAGCAGAGAGTAGCACAGCGGAGCACCAGCAACAGAAAATCTCCGCTGACCGCAGCGGCTACGGTTTGCCTAAGTTTAGTAGGCCGTGTGACTGCTGATGGTTGGCCTCCGCGGAATGTGCCGGCATAATTTCGGGAATTATCGGTGTGATTTTTAAAACGGGAATTATAGGCAATTTTTGTGGAATAATCGGTAAAATTTGAGCAATGCCCCCCTTTTTTCAATTTGTTTCCATTTATAACGGATTTATAACACCCTGATTTGTACCAAAAAGCTTGTGATCCTGAAGTTGATCGCCCGGTGTTTCAAAAAAGAAAGAAAAAAAGCTTCCAGCCGAGTTTCACGCGAACCGTGATTTTTTTGCCCGTACAAGTGGCAAAAAAACCGTACGCGGTACGGTATCTGCAAAAAGGGAAGAAAAAAATCATTATTGTGAGAATTATTGGTGGAATTACGGGAATAATCGGTCGAAATTTTGAGCAATGCTCAAAGGCATTCCGGGTGCGTTCCGGGTGTTGTGCTGTTGCATGGGCATGATTGCCCGTTTGACTTGCGATGTAAAATATAAAACAATACAAACACAACCAGCTTTAGGATATGTCGCTCGTGGCAAGCCACCTCCAAAGCCATGTTGCCCGTGAAGGCTGTGCCAAACAGTCGGAACAGCACGGGGTAGGACTCGGGAGAAGCCGAAACGGAGATTGCTCCGGGACAGGTTTCAGACCTTCTCTTGCCTAACGTGGTGATCGTAAGCGGGTGTCAGTTTTTTTCTCTCGCAACAATACAAGTATCTATTTGGGTAACAATGAGAAAAAGCAAAGCAAATACAAAGAATGAAGCTTATGTCAGTGGAGCTCTCTGCGTTGCAACGAAGCACTAGAGTCAGACACATGTGTAGCGCCGTCTGATTGCAACGCGACCGTTTCCCTGCTGCGAAGAAGCTCCGCCTCCATGCTGGCGCTTTTTATCCAGATAGGGAGGGAAACATTTCCGTCAACGCAGTTGCGTCGTTTAGTCAGCGAAGGATAGAACCGCAAACCGAAGCAAGGAGGTAGCTCTCTTGCTACTGCTGTTGTTGTTGTTTATTTATTTTACATCGCATGTCAAACGGGCAGTTCTGCCCAATATTATGAAAGCGATGACAACCAGTAAGAAAAGTCAGAAATGAAGAGAAAAATAAATAAAATTTATTTAATAAAAATACGAAAATGGAAGTAGCAATGGGGGGAGGCAGGGTTAAGACGAGCAGAAAAGGGATCTCAAATTTACAAGTCGGGTCATCGTAGCATGACTCTATCGAGCCTCATCAGCAGGTTACGAAAGCCATCACATTTAACCGAAGTAAAACACGCGCATTTGAATTCACGGACAGATACTATGGACTTCATACAGTCGGGCAGGCCATTCCAGAGTCGGCAGCTGGCTAGAAGCGGTCATGTCGATTGTTACTGGACGATGACGAGACCAGTAGGATACTTGACAAAGCTTTCCCTCTTTGGTCTCTCCATAACCTTGAACCTTCCGAGTTGGAAGGCTGTCGGTCAGCGCTACGGAGGTGTGTTGAAGCTAGGTGTCAGGACGTCGAATGTCTCAGTACTCTGTCAGTTTTGTACCTAGTTGTTGTACTTTCTGAGTGTATAATATCTAGTTACAGTGCTGGAGAGTTACCATATGTCCTTTTTCCTTTCTTCATTAATTATTGGCTCAATACCCGAGTTTCAAAAAAAGGAATTGCGATAATCTAGAACGAGCTGAACAGTCATTTTCACAAAGGCTTTCGTGTTCAAAACGGGTGGATACTGGATACGAAAAAAGATGTGTACAGAGATTCGTCACTCTCGCTACGCGTATTCGGTACGGTATTGGTATCGAACACGATGGCTATGTACCGGCTACACGCAGCGAGTGCGGCACAGCATGACACTACTCCCACGGTAGCGATCCCGCACTGCACTGGGCATTCTTTATCAATTTCTAGAAGATCCATAACAATGGCGAAGCCTAAAGATACTGTTTTCGGCAAGATTCTTCGCGGAGAAATCCCCGCCAAATTTCACTACCGGGACTCGGAGGTACTGTATAACTTAGCACCTCAGTTGTCATACCATGTATCTTTTTAGCGGTATCGATATGTGCTGACCAAGTTTTGACAAATGTCTTGTTAGTACAGTAGTAGTCCTGGGTTTCTACCCGGTAGCACTCAACCTGATTTCCACTCTCTTGTTGTTTTATTTGTTTTGGTCTCAGGCCGCGGGACCTGGGCAGTTCAGTTTTTGTAAATAGCGGCTCCCGAGTCCCTGCCCCGCAAGCCAGGCTTCTGGGATTCAATTACATGTAATTCCCTCCCCTCCACTAGTGCGCGCCGCATCTTCGGATGGCTTTATGATTATCAGAGTTCATACTTGTAGCTTCTTCATGACTGCTGTGTGATGGGCTCGCACTTGTTGATATTAATATGATCGCTCTCCTACTGATGTTTCTCTGGCGTATTTTCAGGTCGCCTCCTTCGACTCTCTGAGACCGCAGCCTCCAATTCATTTTCTTGTTATCCCCATCAAGCCAATTCCAACGATGACGGATGCAACGGATGAGGACGCAGCGGTAAGAATTATATTGGGTGGCCAAGGGGGCTCACTTATTGCCATGGGGTTAGCTCTGCAATGCCTTGGGAGTTGTGCCTGAACCGCAGTGTTGCGGGTTCAAAATTCAGCAACTACTGCGTACTGTAGACTGTTCAATCAATATCTAGTGAACAGAGCTGCGATAGCGCCACACTTCGAGCAGCAGCGAAGAGAGACTTGGTTGTTAGGGGTGTTCGGATAATGCTCGAAAAGGTGGCAGATTCTACTCGAAAAGCAGTGAAATTGGCAGAACCATACAAACTTTATGGCAGGAAATTCCTCGAATTCTGCTCCATTTCTTTATCCACATACCAAACATGCATGAAACTTACCAGAAAAAGTACCGAATTCTGCATTATTTTTCTGCCGGCAGAATCCGCATATGCCTATTGGTTGTACTACTAGGTAGTAGATCTACTCAGTATACAGTCATGTACTGTTGCTGTGTGCTTACTGAATTGGATTTCAAGTACATGTATTTTTAGGGCTGTTGTGGATAGCATTGCGTGTCTGGTGTGTTGTGTATCTGCTTCAGGTCCTCGGGCACATGCTGGTCGTGGCGGCCAAGGTAGCCGCGGAGAAAGGGCTGAAGCCGGATGGCTACAAAGTGTTCATCAACAACAGACTACATGGCGGACAGACAGTCTTTCATGTGCACGCGCACGTCCTTGACGACTCCTAGAAGATCGAATTATTATTATGTCATGTACAATCTACAATGACATTCACCTGATCATATTATTGAGGCTAGGCTAGCAAGCGCCTTTGATTTCGAATAAAACTTCTTTGATGACAGTGCGGATCATGGTGATCAGGGTGTCTTTGCCTGCCACAGCATTCTGCACCAATCCTACACTACACTCTACAGAGTACAGTGCTGCCTGATGAAATTCGATCAAGTCAGTCGCTTACTTGTCTTTGCATGCGCCCTGACCTAGCCCTGAACCAGCGCCAACACGATAACTATAAGTCCTTATTGGCGTCACGCCATCGTGGAATAAAGGAATAACTATAATAATTACAGGATAGGGCGAAGTGGTGGCCCGCCGATGCGAACGTCTTTGCTTGGTGTGTTCCTCAACGCGTCAGGTGATGCGGCCGCGAATCCGACTAACTACTTTACTTGTTCTTCTTTTTACCAGTGTTGGCAGGCCTAGCGCTGCACAGCACCCAGCCGCCAGCGTGGCATTGACTCGGCTGATCGGATTTCAATGAACTCGTAGATCTACTGTTCTTGCATTACATCTGTATAAATGCTATTCACTGGCACTGAAAAAAAATCGAAACCAACAAACTCAGTGTCAGACTCGGGTGGAGAGCCAAGGGTTAATTTATAAGAAGAAAAGAGGACCAAAGAGCTAGAAGTTACGGTATAATAGCCCCTGACATCACCAGTTACTTAGAACCTTCCAACGTAGACCTTCCAAGTAGTTGGAAGGCTGTTGGAGTGCGCATCCGAGATGTTCTAGAGCTGATTGACAGTTAATTGTAGAACGTCAGTACCATTGGTCAGTGTCGTGCAATGTTATCGCATGAGCTGATGGTCCAGTAACTGGTGGTGCTAGTGGATATTATAGCGTAACTTCTAACTCTCTGGTCCTCTTTTCTTCTTATAAACTCAATGTCGGCCATTGATCCAAAGCACAGTATAGGTGCATGTAGTTGGGAGAGAGGAGCACTATTGATATCCCGCAAGTCTTCGTGGGCTGCTTCGAAAAGCTCAGGTTGGCGGGTAATGTGGACAGAAAACTCTCCAGAATTTGGTATCTATCTGGTATGTTCCTTGCATGTTTTCATTTCACTACTTTTCGAGCAGAAGAAGAGTGTGTTACTCCCTACATGGCTCTTCCCCTACTATCGCCGAAGTCGCACCAACCTCTTTTTCGAGCAGAAGCTGCCAATATTTGAAAGTATTATCTGCCAACGGCAACGGGCTAGCTATGAACAAGCGGAGCTTTTTTTGTCTTGCACAGCGCACACAGACGTCCGCGCCGCCAACGGTTGCAGAACCAAGAGCCGTTACCTGGTTACAGACAGCACGGTCCAGGGAGTCCTAAAAGAGTAGGTATTAATTTTACGACCCCCTAGTACGATCATACAGCTAGCCTACATGAAACAGGACCGGGGGCCGCGGGGGCGGGGCAGGCGTTACGCGTATCCAGCCTGGACGATTCTCCGGAGTAGAATCCCCGCACGTGAGAGACTCTCTCCCGTGCGAGAGAGAGAGAGAGAGAGAGAGAGAGAGAGAGAGAGAGAGAGAGAGAGAGAGAGAGAGAGAGAGAGAGAGAGAGAGAGAGAGAGAGAGAGAGAGAGAGAGAGAGAGAGAGAGAGAGAGAGAGAGAGAGAGAGAGAGAGACGGAGAGAGAGAGACGGAGAGAGAGACAGAGAGAGAGACGGAGATAGAGACGGAGAGAGATTGAGAGAGAGAGACGGAGAGAGAGAGAGAGAGAGAGAGAGAGAGAGAGAGAGAGAGACGGAGAGAGAGACGGAGAGAGAAACGGAGGGAGAGAGAGAGAGAGAGAGAGAAAGAGAGGGAGAGACAGCAGAGGTAGCTAACTAGTTATAAGCTAGCGTTAATAGAAGCGACCACACACATTGGCCACGCCAGTAGCATAGAGACTCAGCTCAGCTGTTGTCGAATGAGAAACAAGAGAAAATAGCTTGTTGCTGCTTTCTTGCCGTTTTGGTCCTGGAGTGATGGAGGTACTTCAAATAGCTACATGTACAATCATGCTCCTCTTTCATGAGGCATGCGTCACACTCTCGTGTAATATTTCTTTCCTTTCTTCGTCTTTTTGTGAGAGCTTGGACAATCCACGTGAAGTTGTCCAGGCAAGAAGGGCAGCAATGCCTGTTCATTCTGGCGAAGTAAATACAAATTATAACATGCATGCCATACCATACATGTAAGGCGTAACGTGACGGTTTACCATTTAGCGCAACCGAGCAGTTACACCTTTTACGAGTCGTAGTTCTACATTATAGCGAACTACATGAAATTGCAGCAGGGCAGCCACACGTTATTTTCCTTTCGTTCTCATTCGACCACGCTGAGCCAAGTCTGCATGCTGCTGCATGGCGTAGCCTCCAACTACTTGCGTGGCCACTTCCATTAACGCTACTTTTTTGTGCTCTCTCTCTCTCTCTCTCTTCTCTTTCTCTTCTCGTCTCCTTCTCTTCTCCTTTTCTTCTCTTTCTCTTCTCTTTCTCTCTCTCTCTCTCTCTCTCTCTCTCTCTCTCTCTCTCTCTCTCTCTCTCTCTCTCTCTCTCTCTCTCTCTCTCTCTCTCTCTCTCTCTCTCTCTCTCTCTCTCTCTCTCTCTCTCTCTCTCTCTCTCTCTCTCTCTCTCTCTCTCTCTCTTTCCCTCTCTTTTCTCTCTCCTCTACCTGTCTCTTGCTTCTCAGTTTTTTTAGGGTTGTCAGACAAGTACATGTACAAGTATGACGTTTTACTCCACTCAGCTTTCCCGCTGCTCTTACTAAGGCCAAAACAAATAATGACCTTGTTTCCGGTCGCCCGACCGGGCTACTTTTTCCCAAATTCTGAAACTTTTTTTGGTCCCAAATGTATGCAAACGGTGGCAATGCCATGTGTGCAAGTGCACTCAACGAGTCCTAACTCAGTCAAATCTCAACCGAATTCCACAATCGAAACACCTACAAGGTAGCAGAGATTCTCAGCTGTCGGCTCGAAAACCTCCGGGGTCGATACGAGCTAGAATAACGGAGCTGGAAGGACTCGAACTGTTTGCTTGATTTCTCAGGATGTACGAAAACAGGAATACACCACATGCTGTACAAGAACAGTGAGTCAGTCAACTTTGACATTGATCCTTGCCATGATATATGTACAATGTTCATGTGTAGGTGCTCTTGTCCATCAATACCACAACGATTGAGGAACCAAAAAAAGTATCCAAAAAAAGTTTCATTCCGGCCGACCGAGTCTCCTTTTTGAGGGGTTGCCGACCGGAAACAAGCCTATTTTTTGTTTTGGCCTAATTTAGAAAAGCGATCCTGTCAGCTTTTCTATTATTGTGTTCACATGGCAAGAAAAACGACACCGCTATGCTACGTAACTTTCTACGTAAGGTGCTCGGTATTTCACTTAGGCTACGTAAATCTCTACGTAAGGTGCTCGGTATTAGATCTACCAACGGGTGGAAGCCGCGTGCTGTGCACTGCACGGCAGACATTGTGTTGCAGTGCAGTCCGTGTTCGGATGTGCATGCGCAAGGAACTTCCTTCTTTGGAACTGCTTCTTGTATGAGCTGTTTCGGATATTTCGACTCCTGGCCTGGCTTATTTCGTTTCGGCGCTGCTGAGACCTCCTTTCGCGGAATATTACTGACAGGTGAGTTGACCAGTTCCCTTTGATTCATTTGCTTGTGTTCACTCTTTCATTTACGAAAAGTGTGCTGATTTTGGGCGGAATGCAATAAATAATGGAAAAGCTGACAGGATCTCTTTTCTAAATAATTTAGCTTTTCCGCTGCCGAGGCCTCCTTTTACGGAATGCTCGATGACAGGTGATCTCTGAGTTGACCGGTTTCCTTCGATTCATTTGCTTATGCTCACCCTTTCATTTACGGAAACGTGTGCTGATTTTATTCGGATTTAGATCCATTTTTATCTCTTTGCTAGGGGTGAAACGAACATCGAATTTTGAATACGAACGAACTCTCACACTAACGAACGAACTCGAACGAACATTCTCCATTATGTATTTCATGGATGAATTTTTTTTTGAAGACCATAGTTAATTTATTATTATTTTATTACAGTCTGTCAGTACTGGCGTTCTCTGTACTTGGCTGGCCACAGTTCAGACGGTGTACGATACATATACACTGCCAGAACAGAAATATTTGAATTTGAATCACAGGGTTTTGCAGGTAGCTGCAAAGTCCATCACCATCGTCCGGACGAGAGTTTTCTTCTCATCGCTAGCTCAGGTCGTCAGAGCAGGAGAACGGTACTTCTTGACGTGGGTACGAAGATTGCTTGTCGTCGCTCTGCTGTGTGATAGAAAATTTTTGAAATTGAGAAAATGACTTCGTCTTTCCCGACCACTTTATCAAATTCCGCTCCAACTCCGGATCGCGATGAAAGGCTCGAATGTTTTGACATGATTGCAACGAGTGCACGTTTGCTTTCAGGAACAGATGTCACAAGCGACTCGAATCCTTTCACTACGAGTACAAATCTAACTCAAACGGACACACAGAAATATTTCAAGAAACTTTGTCCCGACGCGACACTCAACTCCTTCAACTTGCTTCAACTTCAAGTGATCATCAAGGCAAACACAGTCGATCAGCGTGCAAGCTCACGATCTCCCAACCTCCGCGGCTCCTTCGTGATCTAGTCACAAGCGATCTTTATGCTTGCTTGCTGTGTTCGTTTATCAATCTTGCGAGTTCGTTCGTTCGTTTTCAAATTTTTCGAACGAATATTCGAACTTTCGTTCGTTCGTTTCACCCCTACGAGTCTTTGCCCTTGTCTACAGTGTACGAAGAACGCGAGTTCACGGTAAGGCTTACCGGTATGTTAAAATGTGTTGTCGAAATACTCATATTCATTGTACATTGGAACGTTACAAGTAAGGCACTGGTCAGTGGCATACTATCGTTGGCAGTTCCCAATCTGGAGGGAAAGGTTCAAGGACCCATTGACCGAGTTTGCAAAATAAATTCGCATATCAGGGAAAATCTCCATTGTGGAGAGGTTCAGTAAACTTGTTTGCTTCATACGAAACAAGCCAATGGGTGCAGTCTCGTCTCGTGAAGATCTCGTACTTGTATGAT